GTATTAGGCATATGACTGTATCCATATACCTAACTTAAATACCTGTATATCTATAATTACATGTTCCTACAGTGGGAAGCCCGGCCAGCCGAGGCGGGCGCGCGCTAGCGTTTACAATTACCACTTTCGCTGTCTGAAAGGCCATGTAACCTCTGCCAGCTCGAGTACCAATGCCAACGCAAACTCCACCCAGGCAGTATTTAACCAAGGAAATCTTCAAGGCCTGCGGGTAAGCGAAGCCTTGATTGAAATACAAGTTCACAAGACCACCAATGACCAGCCCGAGAACAAAGAGAGCTTTCCACAGCTGGCCATCTTTCATGGGCTGGCACTTGCCGACTCCGCGCAAGAAGGGCCCAACGATGCCACTGATCCCTGCGATCTTCCCATCGCCCAGGTACGCCAGCGCGGCGGACAGGCCAATGAGGATGCCGCCGATGCCGGATTCGACTGGAGTGAAAGTCATTCTCTTCACTTGGTGAAAGTTCCGCAGGCACAGGTCACCGAATAAACTCGGCAGTCGGCCGCGGATGCCATTTGAGCCAGAGTCCAGTCGAACAGCCACATCAGAGGACAGGGCTCTCACTGGCTCACTGCATTTGGCAAAGGCAACAAAAAAGTGTGAGCATGCAGCACTGAACTCATCTAGCATTGGCGGCTTTTCTCAACATCTGCTACAAGAGCAGTGAGAGTGCATGTCACGAGTCAGAAGGCTTCATGCTTCCTGCATAGCACAAGGCAGGAGCAGAAATAAAAGCCAGCAGTGGTCCAGGAAAACTGCTGGCTGGGAGAGGCCCTGGCTTATCAAAACAGGCTTGAAAGCCAGACGACTGAAGCAAAACCACGTAGTACTTTCACATCGCTGTACACTTTGCTGCTTGCAAGTCAAGACTGTGCTATCCTATGCCTTCTCATCTGATGGCCCAACTTTCACTACTTGTGCTTCCTTCGGCTGCTGCGAGTTCATGTAGCCGATGGCTCGGTCCGTTGCAAGCCAGGAGACCAGGATCAGCAGCACGCAAAGGCCAAACGAGAGGCCAGCGCCCCAGCCACCCGTCAGGTAAGGAATCATACCAGCCAGAGCGGGCCCTGGGCAAATGCCAACCAGACCCCAGCCGAGGCCAAAGAACGTGGCACCCAGAACCAGCGATCCGTAATTCCCAGTCTTGGAAGGCTTCTCAAAGCTGCACTCCTCACCGCACAATGGCTTTCTCCACTCTCGCTCTGCGAGAAGGAATGCCGGAAAGGACACGCAGAGTCCCAGGCCCATCACGAAGGCCAAGCTCGGATCCCAGGTTCCCCCGAAGTCCAAAAAGTCCAAGACCTTCGCCTGGCTCGTCATTCCAGAGACGCCCAAGCCCAAGCCAAAGATGATGCCGCATGCCATCGGTGATACGAAGCTTCGAGGCTTGGAAGGGAGGAGCACTGCAAGCAATGTCAGCACCAAGCTGGAAAGTGCTGCAGCTAACGGGAACTCCCACTTGGGTGGCCACTGCAGCTCCGCTACCTGCCACGGACCGCTGGCATCCAGCTTGGCTGCATGCCTCGTGACAGCCACTGTGGCAGCCGCAACTCCCATGAAGGTGGGCACCGCAATCCAGCTGCGTGGGGCAAGGCGAGGAAGACCGCAGATGCCATGGCCAGAAGTGCAGCCTCGCATGAAGAATGGAATTCACTCGAAAATCGAAAATGTACATAGTTTATTAGGAGATTCACAGTCTTCAGCAAGACCTGCTGTCAAAATTGACTCAGATCCGAGAGATCATTTCAAGAGCCTCGCAACCTCTTCCTGCGCGAGTGCCGATGCCAACGAGGACGCCGCCCAAGCAGTACCTGACCACCGAAATCTCCAAGGCCTGCGGGTAGGCAAAGTCCCGATTGAAAGCCAGGTTCAAGAGACCACCTATAATCAGGCCGCTGAGAAAGAGAGCTTTCCATAATTGACCATCTTTAAGTGGCTGGCATTTACCCATTCCTCGCAAGAAGGGGCCCACGATGCCACTGATGCCCGTGATCTTGCCATCTGCCAGGTATGCTAGGGCGGCCGACAATCCAATGAGCAGGCCGCCAACACCGGATTCGATTGGAGTGAAAGCCATTGCAGAGCCTTGCAGTTTCGACTGCGGAAGCAAATCAGGCGGCAAACAGTCAACGTGCCAGAGACGGACTGTCAGTCAGTGCGCGATGCGCTTGAGCCCGCAAGCCGGAGATGACACTTCTCTGAACATGCTGGCAGGTGGTGAGGGCGCCATGCTCTCAGCTCAGGCAAACAACCATGACGAAGACACCTCCTGCTTGCAGAATCTGCTGGGAGCGTGTCTAGTTTATAGGCGGCGGTGCGCCGTAGCAAGCGGTGAAACATAGATGCGAATTCCTTGAGGGTCTGCTCGCTAAAGTCAGGCACTCACCTGTCCCTGAACAAAGCTCATGACCTGTCAGGACAAGTTTACATAAGTCTGTTCTCGTACAGTTTTGACGTCATTCCTGCAGACAACCATCTGCAGTACATACATTCTCTGCAATTAAGCCCAGAACGTGGGCAAAATCTTCTAGAAGCTACTGCTATGGACCACAAAGATCAGAATAATTCGGGTTCTCCTAAGTCTCCTCATCTAATTTTTTCCTACTGTGCCAACTCCCAAGCTGTGGCAAGTTTGCAAAGCCCATCACCACCTTGGCGGCCTTTGGCTGCAAAACTGGGTCCATCATGGCCATCATCTGGACCTTCAGAATTTCATGAGTGTCAAAGGAGCTACAGCAATGTGGATCGCACTCCTACTACAACACGAGATAGCAAGTCCTGTGACACATGCAAACAAAAATGGACGCAAAGAAAACCGCTCCAGTAAACGAGTGTGCACTGCCAGGCTCAGTTGTGGTTCATGCCCCCAGGAAATCAGGAGTACAAGGAATTTCGACCCAAGGTGTGCAACAGGCAGACCTCAAACAGGCTTCCTCATGTAAGCGCCAAGGAAGGACCCGTTGCAGTTGCAAACTTGTAGAGCGTCCCTAGCTGTTGGAGGTACCAGCCATGCCTGCATCATGACTGCCATGGCATTGTCCTCGGTCACACCCCATTCCTGCCAAAGATGAAGCGTTGAAAGCTGCTTCCCGACCAATTTTGCCAAATGCTCTCTCCTTCCAGCTGTCACCGACAACCGTCTTGGCTAGCGGCAGGATCTCCTTCGCAGTCCGGGCTTGCTGTCAAAAACGAGTTGCCACCAAATATCAAAATGGGCGCCCTTTACTGCCTCCACAAAGCCACACAAACGACGCCTGCAAAAATTCTTGAACCCACATGTTCCACGGAGGACAGTTATCGCAAGTGTATACGCAACTCAGATGTTCGGCTTCCCGTCTGCTTGCCACAGGGCATGTGTCCTGCATCATCAGCATCTGCCTCTTGACTTGATCGTCTGGCTCAGCCTTTGCCAGTCGTGGCTATCAAACACGCTTGCCGTTCTTTGGCGCTTCGTTCCAAGCCCCTTAGGTTTCCTGTCAGGACACTCAACCATCATTCAAGTGCTACCACCAAG